GGAATGAGTAGTGGAGCTGAGCAGCGCCTGGGGGGTGCCCAAAGCTCAGGCAGTACTCCTCCTCCTTCTCCCTGTGGAAGATTTGGGGTGACTACAGGACAGGGTGATATCTGGGGGACTCCTGGCTTCAGCAGCGTGGACAGACATGATCTGGTGCAGCATTGGGGGTGGGAGGTGGGGGAAGGGGAGAAACAACTTCAAGGCCTCAGACAGAACAATTAGAATGATCTTAAGCTGGTTGCCTGCCAAACAAAGTGATTTCTAGCACATTCGGTGGTACTCACTGCAGTGTGAGTTCAGAGGGTGGAAACAGGGCTCTGTGCGGAGTTGAGGAGACATCCTAAACACCCTCAGGGCATTGAGGGGAGGGGAGGCCAGCGGTTTCTTCACCACTGTCTTCTCAGACCTCCAAGTTCTCAGGCGCCTGGCCAGTCTCTCCACAGGAAAGACTTACTGCATTTCCCAAACACACATGACCATTCGGCTCTTTTTTTTGAGGAAGTTCTATTAACACATGTAGAACTAGGATTGTTCTGAGAAATATTTCTAAAAATACAACTGGATTTTTTACAGCTTTAGAGAAGTGCATCATGTACTTCATCCACTTCAAGTGTAGAATTCAAATTGTGTGATCATTACCATAAGTCAGTTTCAGGACATTCTTACCGCCTCCATGGGTTCCTTATACCCATAAACATAACCCCTGCTCCTGCCCCTGGCCTAGGCAAACACCAGTGTACCATTGTCTCTACAGATCTGCCTTGAGAAATTTTGTTATTTGGTACATGTGGGGATATACATTATGTCAAACTTGCCATTTTAGCCTTTTTTTTTTTTTTTTGGTGGTACTGGGGTTTGAACTCAGGGCCTCACACTTGCTAGCCAGGCACTCTACCACTTGAGCCACTCTGCCAGCCCTTTTTTGTGATGGGTTTTTTCAAACTAGGACATTGTGAACTGCCTGTCCGGGGCTGGCTTTGAACTGCATTCCTCCTTATCTCTTCTTCCTGAGTTGCAAGGATTACAGGTGTGTGCCACCGGCGCCTGGCCACTTTAGCCATTTTTAAGTGTACAGTTCATGACATGAGTAAACTCACATGGTTGTACAGTCATACTGAACTTTTCCATCATTCCAAACAGAAGCTCCATCCATTAAATACTAATTTCCCCTCCCCTGATCCCCTGGTGACCACTGTTCTATTTTTGCCTCTATGAATTTGGCTATCCAAAGTACCTCCTCTAAGGGCCATCACTTAACATTCATCCTTTTGTTGTCTGGCTTACTCCACTTAGCATGATGTCCTCAAGGCTTATTTTATTATAGCATGTGTCAGGATTTCTTTTTTAAGGCTGAATAATATTCCATTGCATATATACACTACATTTTGTTTATCCATTCTTCCAGAGATAGATACTAGGGTTGCTTCTGTCTTTTAGCTATTGTGAATAATGTTGCTGTGCATATTGGTATACAAATGTCTGTCTCTGCTTTGAGTCCCTTCTTTCATCTCTGAGCTACATGCCTAGAAGTAGAATTACTGAGTCATATGGTGATTCTGTTTCACTTTTTGAGGAACCATCTTGTATTTCCCATGGTGGCTGCATTATTTTATATTCCTCCCAACAATGCACAAGGTTGTAATTTCTTCATATCTTCACCAACAATTGCTATTTTCTGTGTGGTTTTGGTTTTGTCTATGATAGCCAGCCTAATTGGTGTAGTGGTGCCTCTCTGATTTGCATTTGATTTGCATTTGCCTAATGACTAATGATTTCGAGCATCTTTTTGTTGCGGGCCATTGTTGAGGGTCCTTGCCTTCACTGGCCAAAGAATTGGCTTGTGAGGCAGTGACTTGACTCGTGGGGTGGCAAGGTGAGCACACAAGTAGGATTCAATAGAGAGAAAGGAAAAGCTGCCCCTAGAGATGAACAGGGAGCCCAGAAAATCGGTAGCTCTCTGTTGTTTACATAGACGAGTTTTTATTTGGTCCTTTTTTTGGAGGGAGGGCAGTCAGGAGTCAGGGCTGGAGTGATCTTTTGACATGTCTCTGCAGGAACATATATACAGTCTTGTAAAAGCCTCCTGTTTATCGGCCTTGTGGCATTTTGAGGCATCCCCAGGGGGCCATGCATGACTTGTGAAACCGCATGTCCCTTTGCAGGTCCCATGTCCCATGTCCCATGTAGGGCTCACAGTGCTCTCATGGGGGATGGGGGCACTGGCTCATTTTGTCTTCTGATCTCCCAGACCCAACATTTTCATGTGCTGATTGGTAAATGCTGATAGGACCTCTCTGGATCCATCTCTAAACCAATGATGGTGGCCAGGCAAACGGACCACTCTGATTGGCTAGCTTGGGTCATGTGCCCAATTTGTTACCCACTTTGGAGAAATATCTATTCAAATCCTTGACTTATTTTCAAATCAGGTAGTTCCATTGTTGCTGGGCAATAGATGTTCTTTATATATTCCAGATATTAATGCCTCATCACTTACATGACTTGAAAATATTTTCTCCCATTCTGTGGGTTAGCTTTTCACTTTCTTGATAGCAGTCTTCAATGCACAAAAGTTTTTAATTTTATTGAAGTATTGACTTTTTCTTTTGCTGCCTCTGGTTTTGGTGGGAGAAGCATTATTTTTGCTTTTTAAATGTCAGAGAGAAAAAACATGAAAAACAACAGAACAAAATCAACTGCTATTGTGATATGAATTCTTATCATTCCTCTAGAGATAGTTTTTTATTAAGTAAAAACTCCCACGTATGCAGTTGCTTCAACCATGTTTCTTGGCACCTGGCTCAACAGTGGTTGTTGCTGTTACTATTTATTATGCACTGATAATACGTCAACATAGACACTGAGTTGTAAGCCAGTGTCAATTCTGGAGCTATCTGTTCTATGTTAAGATTGTAGTTATTAGTAAAGACTTAGTTGCAAGTGACAGGAACCCACTTTAAAATAGCTTAGAAAGAAAGGAGATTTTATTGGCTCGCATAGCCAAAGTGTTGAGGTAGAAAATAGTGGTTTTAACCAGATCACAATTCTTTCCATCTCTTTCCTTCCCTCCTCTTTCTCTTTCTCCCTCTCCTTGCTCAGGCCTGAATGTCCAAGATCTCTTCAAATTTATATGTTGAAATCCTAACCCCCCACAGTATGAGGGGGTGGCACTTTAGGAGCTGATGAGGTCACAAGGACAGAACCCTGGTGACAGTGATTAGTACCCTCATAAAAGAGGCCCCAGAGAGCTCCCTTGGCCCTTCCATCCTCTGAAGTCATAGGGAAGAGATGGCCATCTGTGAACCAAGAAGTTGTTCCTCATTAGACAATGAACCCATTGACACCTTGATCTTGGACTTTCCGGGCCTCAGAACTGTGTCTTCTGCATATTGTTTCTAAGCTACCCAGTTTATGTTACAACAATGATGACACTCCTTGTCTCTATCACTCTGTTTCTTGGCTTTGATTTTTGGCTTCGTTTTACCTGTTAGCCTCATCCATGTCTATTGTATATAAATTCCTTTATGCATTTAGGGGACAGTCATGAGCAACAGTAGTGTACAATCCCAGTAATTAAAATACTAAGTCCCAGTGGATGCTGATAGGACCTCTTTAGATACATCTCTGAACCAATCATGGTGGTAAGGGGCATGGACTACTCGGATTGGATAGCCTTGGTCATGTGCCCAATGCCATGGCTTGGGGTGGGGGTTCAGAAATGGTGGACAGAGACTTTCTAAAGTCTCTGCAGTGAACCTTTAGAAATAGACTAGAGTGCACCTTCCAAATACCATGCAAGTATTTACTAATTATGTGCCCAGCTTCCTTTGGGGGTGTCATCCTCTCTCTAATTTTGTGGGACTTTTTTTCTTGTTTGGTGAGATTTTTGTAGAAATAACAAAGAATGCTATGGCTTTATAAAATAAGGAAAGATCCTTGGGCTCATGAAAATTTCCAACTAGAAGAAACAGTTGAGAGGATTTTTGGATTAAGGGATGAATAACTTTATAGACAGAAGATAAGTGCATGTGTGCACACAGCTGAAGGGGCACAGCACGCTAAAATGAGAAGATCAGGCAGAAAGGCAATGTCATGACTAATCTTTCAGAAAGCAAGGAAATAATAATTAATGTGCCTGTAGGAAGAGAACCTCAGATTCTTTTGGTTAAAAGAGATGGAAAACCACTTTGGTGTAACTGGCTTAGCCTTTGAAAGCAATTCCTTTTTTGATTCATGTAACTGAAGAGTCTATGGGTAAACTCACATTTCAGATGCAGATTGATCTAGGATTAATGCAGCATTCATCTTGAGCTCCCAGAGGGGTTGCCACAGTCAGAACATTTTTCAGACCACGGGTTTGGATTCAGAAACTGTGATCCCAGAAACTCTAAAATTCTCATCGAGATTAGCTAAACAAGTTGAAAAGACCAATGTGCAAGCCCAGAGAGGTGTGACCACTGCATGGACAGAAGGTCTCCTGGAGGGGACAGTATCTTTTCAGGCCTCTGAGATTGTAGCAATCTAAAGAGAGGACAGAGCGTTCTGGGCAGGAAAGGGAAGGAAGGAGGCATATTCAGGAGTAAATTGACAGATGTGCCTGCATTTTGGGTCAGGTGCTGAGAGAGTGATGACAGGGCTCTGGGGGACAGTGATCCAAATGGCCATGGAAAAATTCCAAGGGTTTGAATACAGAAATTGTGGGTGGTAGTTTGTGGTGCTCTTTGGGAAGGGGAAGAGACTGAAGGACAGAGATCATTTTAAAGCAAAGGAGAGAGATATTATGGCCTAATTTGGGTTGGGCAATGGAGAAGGGATGGTTTGAAGGCAAAACCAGTGGGTCCTGGGAATTCAGCAGGTGTGTGAAAGAGAATTATATTAAAATAATAAGAAGAACAGACACTGGACTTCCAAATGACACAGGGTTTGGAGTCCCAGTTCTTTAGCTGTTCCCATAGGTAGTATAACTTGATAACTTGAACTTTGCTCCTGTTTCTCTGCAGGGAAATTCCAGCTGATTGCAGATCCACTTCCATTCAAAACGGTGGCTGATCTGGTCCGCTCTGTCCGAGTTGCCCGGGGTCCCTCGGCTGGTAGAAGCCCCTCCTGCTTCCAGAATTTGGTTCCCATCTCCATAGCAGAGTTACCGATGGTGCTCAAAAAAAGAGAGACTTTGTCCTTAATTGATTTTGAAGAGAATCAAGGGAGGAGGCTGCTAAAGTGTGAGGTCCTGAGGAAGAAGCCACCCCTGACACTGCTCCTCCCCATGGACTGCCAGGGCCAGTTCCAGGAGTGCCAGGATGATGAACTCTATTCCATCGACACCATTGTGGAGTGGAAACTGCTTGCGGGCAGGAAACGCAAGATCAGGATGGGGGCTGGGCATTGCCTGACAACTCTTAGTCCCCTTATCCCAGAGTACTTTAGTGGCCATCTAGTTTTGCATCCCTATTTCTCAGTGATGGCACTACTGCCAGGTGAGTAAGACTCAGAGCACATTTTAGTCCATTCTTCTGTTGCTATAACAAAATACCTGGAAAACTTACAAAGAAAAGAGGTTTATTTATCTTACAGGTTTGGAAGCATGTAAATAGCATGGAATGAACTCTGGCAAGGTCTTCATGCAGGCAGGATCATGGCAGGGTTCATGCAAGAGAGAAAGCCCATGAGGCAAGACAGAAAGCTGAGGGTGGGGCTGTCTTGTTCTTTTATAACAGCCCTCTGATGACAGCCAACCAGGATCCTACCAGAACTATGTAAATTCCTTCTGAAGCCAGCACTCCCAATGACCTAATGACCTCCCAATAGGTCCCACCTCTTAAAGATCCCACCACACTGGGGGCCAAGCTTCCAACACAAGAACCTTTGAAGAAAAGCACCAAACTGTATCCAAAATGGTAGAGCAATACCACAGGCAATGTGAGACACTGCCCTCCAGTGGGCATGGTAGGTGCCTACATCAAGTACTTCTAATCCTACCTCCAGTGTGGCTCCAATCTGGGTATTTTGCCAGGCCTAAAGGTATGCAGATTGATGAGTTGAGGACCCCAGAAGTAGCTACAAAGATGCCATTTCCAGAAACTGATAATTTCTTACTTCACTGACTTCACATCTTTACTTAAGAAAAACTATTAGATGCCAAAAACAGACTGCTAACACACTCTTCCTAAAGAATGTGATTTATGTTATTATTTTAAAAATCCAGTCCATCCTATCATCTATTATTATATTTTTGTCATCATATATATTTAAACACATTTCTTTAGTAGACTTAAAATGCTTTTATTTGATTCCCTTAATAAATATTCATTTCAGGGTAACAGTCAGATGGGTTATAGACTGAAAAAAATAGTTTATCCTTTCAGCAAATTTATTATTGGTGCATTTTCTTATATGTTGCTGTAAAGGCCAGTCCCTCGCCACACATTAATTTTATGGTTTTGTTTATAGTCCGTGTGAATGCCAAATGCCAGTGTGCTTTTCTGTCTACTCATGGACTGAATCGTTTTATTTTCCTTTGCAGAAAAGAAGTGTTATATTAAGCATGAATTTGTAGCATCCTTAAAATTTAGCTTGTTAGTAGACCTCTTCCAGGAGGCAATGTTTGTAAAAGACTCATTCAGCTTCATGCCAGGATATGAATGTTCATATTTTCAACTGTTGAGTATCCCGTAAAAGCCTTGCTTGGATGGTTATGCTGTCTCTGTTTATTGGCTTTATTTGGACTCACTACAGCACCATATACCCCTCATCCTCACTCCAGCATTTCTCAGTAGCTCCTGTCCATTTTTCATTCTCATTCGGTTCCATCTTTTGGGTAACGATGACAACAGTGATGGGTGTAATAGAAGTGATCAGCCAAATGACCACACAGTCCCAAGGAGACACCAGGGTAAGGTGATCACCCACCTGTGTTCAGGTGCTCTCTACACACTGTTCCAGAAGCATCTATTTGAGCAGGGCCATGTGCATCTCAAGTTGAATTTTGCTTCTTCTTCCTGGTCTCTCTTTCTTTTTTGTGTGGTGGTATCTTTCATTTTAGTTATTTTTTGAATATACTTTCATATTTTTGCACAGATTGCTCTGAGACCTCAATTCTTCTATTTACACCTCCCTCATAGCTGAGATCACAGGCACACGTTGCCACATTTGGTTTATTGGTTGAAATGTGTTCTTGTTAACTTTCTGCCTGAGCTGACCTCCAACCATGATCTTCTCAATGTCTGCTTCCCAAGTAACTGGGATTAGAAGCATGAGCCCCTGTGCTCTGCAGCTACATTATTTTTGATGAACACTTTCTCCTTTTGTTTTACGCCAGCTTCTGATGCTTTCAGCATACCAGCATCTATTAAGAATAATAATAATATTTTTTATTAAAAACATGAGTCAGGATTGAGGATGTGACTCAGTAGTAGAGCATGTGTTTAGTATGTGCAAGTCGCTGGGTTCAGTCCTTAGTACCAAAACAATAAATAAATAAATGAAGTGGGAACTGAATTCAAAAAGACAAATAATCAGAAATATCCTTAAAATATGATGCTCCTGGATACCATACTGCATACCTTAAAGTCTCAGCTACTTGAGAGGGTGATGACAGGAGGCTCACTTAAGTCAAGGAGTTTGGGGTCAGCCTGGTCAACAGAGAGACCCTGTCTCAGAAGCTAAGTAAATAAATAAATAAACAAATAACACTGGGCTAATGACAGTCACAGGCAAAGCATACTATTGCACTTGAACCAACCTTTTAAATCTTGGGCGAAGTTGACATTTCTGGCTGAGGATCCTGATGGACAGTGAATACACAGGTCAGGCCATGGCTGACAAAGTCAGACCAAGTCTAACGAAGATCAATACAAGGTTCTTATTGAGGCTTTTGAAAAATGCCTATCCTGGTGTTATGATCAGAGAAGACCTGGGCAGACCAACAGGAATTCCTCGGCCATCAATGCAGACTTAAGAACAGCTTTGAGTACATCTTGTCTGGTGTAGTTGACATTATCTTATCCACTGTATTGGGAAAATAAAGATCAGAGAAGTTTAGTAATTTCGATAGTGTCTAAATCTTTCAAACCATTATCATACTAGAAATTAAAACTGGGAAACTGAAAAACATTCACTAATGCATTTTAGAATAACCATAATAAACCTTTTCACCTTTAAAAACCTTGACATTGTATGCAGGAGGCTACCTACAGCCTTAAGATTTACAAAACTGATTCACCAGGCAGTGTGCTCCCAGTATTTCAGCAGAATATCTGCTGAGCAAAGATAGTGTCCTCTCCGCCAGCTGTCTTGAAATTGTGGCTGTGGCTACTGTCTGATTCCAGAAGGAAGGCGGAAGGTGCAAAGCCATGCCCCACCCCTAGCTAGAGCCCTCCCTCCTGACACTCAAACCTCCAATGCAGGTTGACTCCTGAGTGGGAGGGCAAAGCACCTTGTGCCTGAACAAGGTGTGTTTACGAGGATATGGGTCAGGAAGTAAAATGAGAAGGAAGGGCCTAGAAGAAGGGATGGCAAGAGTGGGAACTAAGCCTGTCTGTAGGCTGATCTCTGGGACAGCTTCTGTTTGGGTCTTGCTATTCTTTGAGTTAAAGATGAGGCAAAGAACAAAAAGAGCGAGGTCACTTGTCGGTGGCCAAGGTCTGGCAGGCTGGGATGTGTATAGTCTTCAGGCAATGGTTTTGTCTGGTGAAGGGAGTATCAACAAGGCTCTCAGGACCAGGCAAGGTGGGATGTGGTATATATCTAGGAGAACAACAGGTTATCTGGAATTTTAGTTCAGGAAACAAGGCCAATGTAACTGGAAGGATGGCTGAGGCTCGATATTCCAAGTCCTCCGGCCTGGAGTCATGCCAGGGGCTCAGCCTTCACATCTGCTGTGAAGTCTCCATTCAGAATCCACACACTGGATCTGACCAGATGGGTCTAGATTCCTTTCCAGAGGTCCAGGCCTTATCTCTTCTGGGTGCAAACAGCTGCTCTGGAGTATGGAGGCAGCTAGAGAACCTGTCTTAGCTCCCAATATGATGCCAAAGACTGGTCATTAAGACGCAGTAAGCTTCTGCTTATTTTAGATTTAAGAATTGTGTCTTAGATGCTAAAAACATACTGCTAAACCACATATGATTGCAGGGAATGTTTTGTTCTAGGGTGCTCCTGGAATTACACCCAGAGTAGTAAACATTTGGGAATTAGGGATTTCAGATTTGCAGTATATATTTCTACACCTTCTAGGGAAAAATGCTTTGAGTTCAGCAAAAATAATACCTCATTTTTGTAGAGATAGAATCTCATTTGCTCTTCACAACTACTAAAAGAAAACCAATTATTCTCATTTTATGGATAAGAACTGTAAAAAGACTAGGATGAGTATATGTCCTGCCCAAGGCTTCCCAGCTAGGAAAGTGGTAGGTCTGAACATCAGAACACACTAGTCTGACTTTCCCACCCTGCAGACTCTGGTCTCAGACTGATATTCACCTCCCAGTGGACCACTGTACCCTGGTGATTTATGCTTTTGTTTCAGGGGCTCCATCATCAACCAAGATCATTGATCCAGCCTGCAATAGGCCATGGTTTCATGATTTTCCATATTTTAAAGTGAAGTTTATGCCATAAGTGATACTCCTTGCAGTTTTGTTTTGTTTTTTGAGACCAGTTCTCACTATACTGCCCAGGCTAGTCTTAAATTTGTGGATTCAAGTGATCCTACTGCCTCATTCTCCCCAGTAGCTGGGACTACAGGTATGCACCACAACATCTGGCTCTTTGTTTTGTTAAGGAAATTCTCACTTCTCAGCCTTTTGTGAAGTTTAAATGACCATGTCCAGATTCTCCTAAAAACATTGACAATGAGCACAATTGGTCTTGGTCTAACAGTCACTCAAAAGTCACTTACAATACAGGCTCATCTGTAGGAATCCCTTAAAAAGAATGTGGCTACAATTTCAGTTTTCAGGAGTCAATCAGCTATTGTCAGATTCTCAATACTTTGTATTAGGGTAAGTCCTCCTTCCCAAGTAAGACCTCAATTTACCTGGAGGACTTATCTGGGAAAATCAGCACCTGATCTTGACCTCATTACATCCTTACATGTTTTACAAGTCTTAAGGGTCTGTGTCAGTCTGTATTCTTCAGACAAAAGCCCAGCTAAGAGAAAATCATCACCCCCAATGGTCATAAAAATGACACATACACTTAAACCTCCTTCTCATCATTCTAACATTTTAATTTTTACTCAAAATCTATGAAAGAAAAATTGAGAGAAGATAGGCAGCTACTTGCTCATTGTGCTGTACAAGTGTTCAGTCTGGTTCCTGCTCTGTGCCCCTAGAGGCTGGGGCTCACCTGTGAGGACCTATCAACACACCTGCCTCACTTCAGATTAGGTCCAATCAAGAAAGGGAGTTCTCTGAACCAGGAGAGTGAGGGCAGGATATGGATTACCAATTCCCACATTGCTGTGTTGGCTGTGTCCCTCTGCCCAAAGCTCCAATCAGGCTGCTAACTGCCTCTCTCTGTGCCTTCAGACCAAGGGAGAGTAACTGCGCCTGGTGCCTCCCCCATATCCTACCCAGGGATTTCAAAATAGTCCCTTTATTACACTTTCTTCAAATTACCATTTTGAGTACCACTTGATTCTCCCAAGAGCTATCTGATCCTCGACTTTCACGTACACGATGAAGATGGTGTGAGCTTCCATCACAACCTTGAGTACACGTGCAGTGTTGCATTATAGATGTGCAGGGCTCCAGGACATTTGCAGATGTGCAGGTATAATGTCCTATGAGCCATAACACACTTTAACTTTACAATGTCTGGCATCTTATTTTCTAAGTTTACATATTGGGATTATCTTCTATTTGTTGTTAATATATAAATCAAATATGAATTAATCAGCTGTGCTTGTTTTCAAACTGCCTCCATTCTCCACGACCTCGTTTTAATTGTCCCCCTCTTGCTTCATTACCAGGTGAAAACCACATTACCATCCCCTCTGATCTGGACATCCATGTTACTGACATTACAGGCTTAGGAAATGACAACTGCAAAACCATGACAATGAGACAAATATATGGTATGGAAAGAAACAAATTCCCTCTGAAAATTAAAATAATGAGTGTGGTCATAGCAGAGAACAAAACAATCCCAAGCAAGCCATTTCCTTTGAAGTGTGGGCAGCTTTTAGCCATCTTCAGGACCGAGAAAGTAAGAAAGTTCATTGCTACGGAGATTTCCCAAGGAAAGAAAAGGCGGCATTTTCTCATCCCGTGCACCTATCAGGGCATGGTGCTTAGGAGAGGCCGATATTTTAACTTTGTTTCTGACGTCGCTGAGGCCATGCAACATAAACAGCTCTGTTTCCAGTCCTCCAGGGATTACACCTCCCCAGGGAAGCCACTTGCATCATTTGCAGCCAAGGAATGCTTCCTGGCTCTGAAAAAAAGTGTGGTTTCTGCTAAAATTCAAGGTGAGCTGCACAGGGTTGAAGTTCTCAAGTGCCAAAACATTGCCACCAAAGCCCACGTCAAACTGCCCCTGTTTGCAAAAGGAGACTTCCTGGAACTTATTGAGGATACTGGACCAGGGACCTTGCAGGAGCTGTGCCAAGACACAAGACTCCCATGTCACATCAGGGTGATCAGCCCAGATCCTTCTATGGCCAGAGACCCTTTGTATGGAACTGAAGAACTGCGAGTTGAGAACGTTGTCATTGAACAATGTCTCATAGCCAGAGATGAAACTTTGTTAGATGACATATACTCAGACTGGTCAGAAGACACATTTGCCATCCCAGTGGAAAGGACAGACTCAGAAGTGCTGGTAGTAGAAGAGCATTCACTGATGAGAACTTTGGGGGAGGATACTAGAGTGGCTTCCTGGAATGTTGAAGAGATCACTAAAGCAGAGTTTCTTACCTTCAGTGATTACTTGATTGCTCCTCGTCCACCACCATGCCTTCCAAAGCCCAGAAATTTGTCTTAAAACAGAAAATGTGAACATTATCCCAGCCTTGCCTCTGACAAACAGTGCTGCGCACACAGGCCTGTGTATTTGAGGGTTACTAGAACGTAAAAGCAGCCCCTGGCTATAGGAGCTCAGATGAACAGAGACGAAATCAAAGGTGTTTAAAATGACTTATCTTTTCCTTCACTCTTGTACATCTGCTAAAAGTTGTTGTGTGGGTCAGTTTTCTGTCACTGTGACAAAATACCTGAGATGATCAACTTATAAGAAGGAAAGATTAATTTGATTCACAATTGCAGAGGTTTCAGTGCATGGTTGTTTGACCCCATTGCCTTTGGGCCTGTGGTGAGATAGTACATCATGGTGGGAGTGTGAGTAAAGCAAAGCTGCTCACATCATGGCAGATGGGAAGTGAAAAGAGAGGAAGGTTTGGGTCTCAGTAATATCCCTCAAGGGCACACCCCGAAGTGGGTCCTACCTCCACCAAGGTCCTACCTCTTAGCATCATGGACTGGGAACCAACCCTTTAACACCAGGGTTTTAGGGGATGCTTATTAAAACCACAGTAGCTGTCTTTAGGTAATGCACTTTTTTCCCTTGGTGTGCATGTAAAGCAATGCTGTGATAATGTTTGATGTGGCCACAGTACTCTTCTTTCAGTTAAAATGAAATTATATTCAATCAGCAGAAACATTTGTTTGATGTAAGACACAACTCTTCATCTCATGTGCCCCTAGGCTTGGACTCACACCTGTCCAATTGCCCTCACTCTAAACAGTGCCTGACAATAGAACATGTTCAGTAAAATTTTGTTGGATGAATGGATGGATGCACAATTTGGATATTTGTATCTTGTCTTCCTCCTTGCTCCTCTTCTATTATCCACCTAGCTGCCCAGGACAGAGACCTGTACAACTCTCTCCTACTCATCCAATCACTCAGTCAATCACTCAATCACCGTGTCCTTCCAGTTCCACCATTCACCTTTTCTCAGTCTCTACTACCATGCCATTTAGACCACCATCTTTCCCTTCTCTCTGTTGTCCCTTTCTCAAATCCTGTCCCTTTTCCATCCATTCTCCACTCTAACCAGAGACCTGTGTTAAAGTCAAAACTGAAAGAAATCCCTATTCTTCAAACTCCTGCAATAGCTCTCTATTACCTTAGGATAAAGTCCAGACACCTTGACATTGTTTCTAGAGTTCTTCATGTGCTGGCCTCCAACCCAAATCTTCATCTCTCACCCCCATCCACACTTATTTCTCTAGCACTCTTAAGCTCCAGCCAGACCATGTGGATTCTGGTTTTCTACATAATGGCTTTGAACCTGAGGACATAGTATGGCCTAGACACTCTGTCCACCTTCTTATGAATAACCTCTCTACTTTTTTCAGTTCTCACAATAAATGTTGTTTCCTTCAGAATGGTTTCTCTGAGTGCCAAATCTTTTTTAGTGTCTCTTCTGCATGCTAGAGTCATCAAAGCACAGTGGATAAGAACAGGTTCTGCAGTTAGACGACCTGTGATCGGACCCTCCATGGTGGCAATTTACCCTCTCTGGAGCTTGGTGTCTTCCTTATAAAATGTGGATGACACTAATTCTGAGAATTAAAGGAGATGATCGATAAGAACAAAAAACACTGCCTGCAGTATAAGTGGGGACTCACTAGTTGCGTACTCTATTGCTTCTGAGTCTTTTTCTCCTTTCAACTACATTACCAGGAACAGGAGGCTGCATTAATTATTTGAGTTTCATTGGTTGGGGGTTCATGGCTGTGTCTTTGCTGATGCTGTTCTCCTAGTGTGGAGTGTACCCCCCCCAACCCTGCTCATTCCTCAGGCTCCTACCCCATATCATACCTTTGCCTCTCCCGTGAAGATGCTGGATCTCACTGGTCTTTCTATTGTGAGTTCCTAGAGTATTATTTGAATCTTACTGACTGTAGGCATTTCTCATCATTGAGTACCTACTGCGTACCCCATATTACAATGCATGATTGACACTTGACATCTATTTCATACTGTAATAGTCCAGAAAGGCTGAGCTCTAGTATCTCCTCTTTAGCTGAGGACAAGAACCTATGCAAAGGCTTCCTTGTCAGGTGTAACAGAGCTGAGATTTGAATCCCTCTTGAGCCCTGGAGCACGCTCCACCTCCCTGCTTGGTCATCATGCTACCCAGTAACTGTGTGTTAGCGCTCCCTTCTCTTGTGGAGCAAAGGCACTGCGGTGTGATAGAAAGACAGTCTTGATCACTGGAACATCTTTGGGGAAGTGGAATGAGAAGCCAGAGCTTTGGAAGCTAGCAGAGCAAGAGGGCTGGAAGGTCAACATGAAGAGGGCCAGGAGCCACCCTGCTCTAGCTACTGTGCTCTGTAACTTTGGCAGGAGTGGAAACAAGAAATCCATTTTTCCAGTTCTAGCAAGAGGTCTAAGAACAGAATCAGAATCTGAGAGGAATTTGAGGGCAAGTGTGGTCAGGGTGACTCTGAGGAGGAGGGCAAGTTAGGGAAAGGAAAGAAACAATCCAAGGTGCTCTGATACACAGACTATTGCTGCAGGCAGCCAGGGCTCACACTTACTGGATGACCCATCAGACTGGGGTCAGCCAACTGGATGAACCCAGCCCATTGTTGTTTTATAGCCCATGACATGAGCTAGGGATGGTCTTTATGTTTTTAGATGATTAGAAGTTAATCTAAGGAAGAATAACATTTTGTGACAAGTGATTGAAATTCAGATTTCAGTTGTCATACATAAAGTTTTCTTGTAACAGAGCCACACCACTTATTCACATATTGTTTATGCTCTGACTGATATACCTCCTACTGCAGAGTTGAATATTTTTGATGGAGACCATACAGTCCACAAAGACTCAAATATTTACTACCTGGCTCTTTGCAGGAAAAGCTTGCCAACCCTGAGTTAGACCATGTTTCAGCATTGTCCTGCTATTGCTTGAGGGCTATTTTCAAGCACTTGCATTTTCTGGCACTTCTAGCCTGCCCCTTGGTCAAGCATGCTCTTGAAAGAACTCTGGCAGTCACAGGTACTTATAGCAAGGAGCTAATTGTATATTGGAAAACCAATGTGTGCCAAGGTGATCCAGACAGGGCACAGACAGCGCCTGTCATTCCAAATGGCCCTGGAATTCTTAATGCCCATTTTCACTGGGCATCAACCATGGGACACAGAGGAGTTGGCCTTATGTAAAGTCACAGGAAGGGACAAACATCCAAAGACAATTTGTCTGTTATGAAACTGTCTTATTATGAAATGACATCTCTCAAGAAGGAAAGGTAGAACCAGCCCTCTGAAATGAGTGTGTTGTGTCACCATGCACAGGAAGACAGGGTAAGGTTGTAGGACTGCACAGGGAGCGAATCACAGTAGCAAATTGACTGCAAGCAAGAAAGAATTGGGGACCACAGGCTGTGGAGGGCAGCATGTGGGGAAGCCACCTGTGCTTAGAGCTGCAAGCCTCAAATTTGTGTGGTCTAAAACTCAGGGAGAAAAATAGAAGTTCCAATCTGAGAAGAGGTCTACTAACAGGATATCCAAATTAATGCTGGAAGTTACAGGAGCAATTGGCATTACCATATATCTTGGTCTTTAACTATAAATGGGACATTTTTATTTATGGACAGAAATCAAGGTCTCCCCTAGGGTGCACTGGTTAGTAAGTAACAGAGCTTGGACCAGACCTGGGTCTTCCATTTCTTGTCCCTTGTATGTCATCCTGAATGTATCTCTTTCATGTCACCCTGAGTCACTATAGTGTATTGTAAATGGTACAGGGACATGTCTTTGAGGACTCAAGGGGCGTGATTATATTCTATTCAATTAGAAAAAGACAATCAACCAAACAGAACAACAACAAAAATGAACAGAAGAAAGAAGATGGAGAATCAGAGTAGATGATATAGAAATACTCAATAAATGAGTAAATAATGCTCACTTCTAGTCAAAGGAATAGCTTTGGTCCTAGATTTCCATTAGCTGGGAGAGGGGAGTGGTCATAGATCAGAGTCTCACATTTTTGTCAAGGACAAGTTTTATAGCACTCTGGAGAGAGCAGAAAACAACTCTTTTTTTCTGGATAAGTAGAGATGAGAAGAAGCTGTTTGAAGGAAGGGTATGTTGGACTGGAGGTGTGCTCAAGTGGTAGAGCACCTGCTTTGCAAGCATGAAGCCCTGAGTTCAAACCCCAGTCCCACTAAAAAAAAAAAAATGGGAGGGCTATGTTCTGAACTACCCTTTCTAAAATGACTTTTTTTCTTTCAAGGAGGATCCTGAATAGTTTTCTATTCAGGCAACATGGAGTCTGAAGTGGTGGAAAGATGACTGTAATGGACTGGGGAGGTGGTCCTGTAAACCAGCTATGAGACAGCATTGATAATACTGTAGCTGATGTTTCATCAAAACAGTATTGCCAAGCAGGATGCTGGTGGCTCACAACTGTAATCCTATTACTGGGAGTTAGAGATCAGAAGGATTACAATTGGAGGCCAACCTGGGCAAATAGTTCATGAGACCCTATCTTAAAAAATCCCATCCCAAAAAAGGGGTGGCTTAAGGTATAGGCCCTGAGTTCAAACCCCAGTACCACAAAAAAAGAAAAAAGAAAAAGAAAACACCCACACAAAAAAAGACTGGCAGAGTGGCTCAAGTGGTAGAACGCCTGCCTCACCAACATGAGACCCTGAGTTCAAACCCCAGTACAGCCAAAACAAAAAACAACAAACAAGATAACACCAGTATTGCAAGCCAGATGTGGATCCCAACACTGAAGAACAGAGGCAGGAGGATTGTAAGTTAAAGGTCAGCTTGGGTTACACAGTGAGACCCTATCACAAAACAAAACAGTATTGCCTTAAAATTATGAAAAGTGGCAGACAAGCCAAAGAGACATGTCATCTTCATAATCATGAGAGGTCCTTCTCTGTGCAGGTGCAGACTGGTTTGTTGGTGCTTCAAAGAGAATGGTACCAAAGTGGATGGGGTGGCTCTTCTCTGAA